CCCCCCCCCCCCTCCCCGGGTGACACGCGGCCACCGGCTTGCATTCCAGCAAAACTGCAGCCAGGCGCGTCCGTTTTCTGGAAAGGCCTGGTGGGGAGCTTGCAGGATGAATGCTCTGGGTGACCTTTTAGGTCCCCACGCTGCTTTGAGCTCTCTTTGTCTCGTTTGCCAGAGAGGAAGCAAGGGCCCCCGAGGCGCTGGCGGAGGAGGGAGCGCAGCTCTGCTCCAGCGTCTGCACACTGCTCAGCCCTGTGTCGGACGGTGTCAGGCTGGACCGGACCTTGTGCCTCTTGCCCTCGCCTCGGGAAATGAACCATGTCTGGGGCAAACGGATTTTATTTTCCCTTTGAAGTCAGTAACGAGGCTACCTCATCTCTGCAACCACCACTCCACCCCAGCTCCCGCAACACACACACTCACACAGGCGCACGCACGCTTCTCCTATCCTCTGGAAGCACCTCTTAATTAATAATTCCTAAATCTAATTGCTCCAAGTTACTTCGACTTCCTCCCTAGAGCCTCAGGATGCTGTTTGTTATGCTATATTAAAAATATTAAAATGTTTGCCTTTATTGCTTTATCAATGTTGAGCTACACACACACACACACACACATACACACACCCTTCTCTGCCAGACATCCTGGTCCTTGGCATTTTATCTTTTAGCCCCACCCCTCACGGTGGTGCCTACATCAGAGTTTAGCTTCTACAACGCGTATTCCTCACTTAATGGTGGCCCTTGGAGACGCTGGGCTGCAACACTCACTCATGGGCTTTCTAACAATAACACCTCCCGTTTAGGCAGAGCCTTCTCGAGCATTCTTTCTCTCCAGCTCTTTCTTCCCATGGAAGTAGGTCAGCCCTACCTGCAGAATGGGGAAGACCTAACTGGACCCCAGACGAGGCCAACGGCTTCCCCAGGGTCAAACAGCCACTGGCAAAGGGCCTGAGAAACACAGCCGGGCCCCCCTTCTCCCCAAAGCTACCCTCACACCATCTTGGTTATTTATATTTTCTACTGAATTAATTTGGCTGGACTCATTCCCCCCGACTTTATTCCAAAATGTCAAGTGTCACTGGGTAATGGGGAGGAGGGTCATTACTTTTCGACCTACCTTCTGTGGATTTGCAAAATTGGAATGTAAGAATTTTCAATTTAAGAATGCATCATTACATAATTTTTAAAAATTGCCAAAGACGTTCATTGCAGAATTTTAACAAATGCAGAAATGTGTGGGCAAGCCATCCCCTCCCTGGCCTCCAACCCATCCTGCTGCCCTTCGGAGGTAACCACCCTTCACTGCCTGTGTGAGCCTTTTAAACCTTGCCTTCTACACATACATGATGTAACTACATATATCTCAAATAACGTTTTCAATATACCATGTACGATTTCCTCTGCTAGTGTAAACAGAACTATTTTGTTCTGTTAAAGCTTCAGTAGTATTCCCCTAATTACTCTCCAACTGACAGAATTTTAGGTATGTGAGTATTTTTGTAGAAAAGATTCCAAGAAGTGGCATTGCTCATGGGAAGGCAATGTACGTTTTATGTTTCTAAACGAATTGCTAAGCTGTCATAAATGTTGCACCAACATTTAAGCAAATGCATGTCCTTAAGTGAAATATTACTTTTTAAAATGTTCCCAACCTGATACAAACAAATATCACTATTGTTTTAATTTGCATTTTGCTTGTTACTAGTGAGACTGAACATCTCACATTTTTATTGGGTATTTGTTTCTTCTGTGTACCACCTCTTCATATCTTTAGCCCCCTTTTAAAAGAGATTTTGTAGCTTTTCATTTGAAAGAACTCTTTATAGACTATGGATATAATCTTTCCATCTGTTTTATGTACAGAAAATATTTTCTCCCAGACTGCTGTTTGTTTTTTCACTATTGGTGAGCTCTTACATTGTATTGTAGTAAAATCTTTAAATCTTCTTATGGCTTCTTCCATACCTTTTCTACCTCCAAATTATATTATATACACATATATGTATACATGCATATATATACATATATGTATGTACATATGTATAGTACTCCATACTTTTCTCTAATACAAATATAACTGAATTATATTTTTAGAATTTTGAATCCCCTAAATTTTATTTTTGTATACAGTGTAAGAAAGGGTCTTTAGTTAATGCTTTCCAAATGTCTTGATATAATTGTATCGGTAAGGTTTGCTATTTGATAGGGCAAGTTCTACCCCTCAGCATTGTTCATCTTAGAAAATTTTCTCTGATACCCTTTTCTAGATGAATTTCAGAATATATTAAGTTACATTTAAAGTTATTATTGGGATTTCTGAGTGAAGACTGCATGAAAGCCGTAGGTTAATTTGGGGACAATGGATATCTTAAAAATATCGAGTATACCAGAATATATTCTCCGTTTTTATTTTTTGGTCTTTTTCTTCTACCTAGAAGTTAAGTCTTATAGTTTTCTTCATTTCAATTTTCACATTTTTGCTAAGTTTTTCCCTTAAGTGTTTTGTAGTTGTTCCTAGTGTAAATTTCCCCCATTATGCTTCTTCATTGGTTATTGCTGGTATATAGGAAGCTACTGGCTTTAAAATGCTGAGTTTTTGATCCAGCCACTTTACTCTCTTATTAGTTCTAATACTTCTAACATTTCCAACTTCTCCTAGTTTTTCTAGGTGAATAATCTTATCTTCTGCCTCCAGTGACAGTTGTTACCGCCTTTCAATGTTTATAATTCCTACTTTAAAAAGACAATCTCACTGCATTAGCTGGGCTCTGCAAATGAAGAGTAAAAGGGATGAGACTAGGGATCCCTGCTTGTCCCAGACTTTAATGGAAAAAGCCTGGGACCCTTCATACCCTTAGGTACGAAGGTCTGTTCTAGAGTCCTAGTAGATACAGTTTGACAAGGTAAGGCAGTTTCAACCCTCCCAGTCCTATTTTACTGAGTTTTGTTTTTGTTTTTAAATAAGAAACGATGTATTAAACTTCCTCAAATGCCTTTTTTAAAATTGTGGCGTTAATCACGTGGGTTTCTCCTGTATTTGTAAAGTCTGAGCTTGATATTTCTCCAAGGCTTTCTTTGAAAGAACCAGGGTGGACAAGATCAACCCCATGATGCAGACTCTAAAACCTACTGATGAAAGTCACCTCCAGGAGGGCCGCGGGGAATTTCTGGAGGAAAGGGTGGAACAAAGGACTCAAATCTGGAAGGGGGATTAGATGTCACCTTCAAACCCAAAGCTAGCCTCCATTTTTGTGACAGTCTAGGCATGACTAAGCCTCCAACCACTATAATTGAACCTAGGATGTTTCTTACTCTTACATACTTGAACAAGAATTGAGCATGTCCTGTTCAATTAGCTGATTAGCCAGAAGTCATCAGTGAATGGGAACAGCAGCGATCTGTGTCTTGTGTCCTAATCTGTTTTCACGTCAAAGGATTATTTGATTTATGGAAGCATCAAAGGAATAAATTATAGTTGCATTTACCATTTAACCCTCAAGGCTAACTGGAGTACCTCCAACCTTTCTGAGGTGTTCCTCACTCAGGAACACATCAGTTAAATAAAGCACTAGATTTGCTGCAGTAATGTCCAGACCAACACCATAGCCTAGTGTTTTCACAGATGAGCAGGAGCCAGCTGACAAATGTTATTCTCTGTACAGAAAGGCTGAGGAAAGAGAAAAGTGATTTGAGTTTGGCCAGAGGGTTCTCTCTTAGAACCGATGCATGAGATTCCTTATGATGCAAAGTTCTG